AGAGCCTGACGCAAGGCTTGAACCCACAAGCCTTGAGATCATCTTGATGTTGGGTAGAGTAAGTCCACCTATTTGTTCAAGTTTAATGTGGCTAGTCTTGGTCCATTTCTTTTCTGTATAAATTTTAGTAGCAGCTTATCAATTGCCACAAAAAACCTATAGGGATTTTTTATTGTGACTACATTAAATCTGTATGAATTAATGTAGGGCTAAATAGACGTCTTTATACTGAATCTTTCAACCTGTGAATCTGGTTTATCTCGCTATTTACCTAGGTTTTCTCTACATTTCCCATAAAACTTTCTGTTTTTTTTTCTGTGTCTAGGTCTTGCATCACTATACATTTTTTATTACATTTAATCTACTCAATTAAAGATTCAAGTTACTTGTTTTTTGATATTACTATAAATGATATTTTAAAATATTACTAATTGCAGGCATATAAAATCTAATGCTTTAGTTTAGGTATCGTGATCTTACATCCAGAGACTGTGCTAACTTCATTTATTTCTAATACTTAGTCAAATCTTTTGGATCTTCCATCTACAGAGTCATGCCATCTGTAAAAAGTGAAAGCCTGTTTTTTTTTCATTCCTTATACTTTTTTTTTTCTTTTCCTTTGCTTATATGCTCTGGAGCATCATAGCTCCACTATGATGTTAAAGTGGTGATTGCAGGCATCATTGTCTGATTCCTAATCTCAGAGGTAAAACAGTGTTCAACATTTCAAAATTAAGTATGATTCTTGTAGTTTTTTTTTTTTTTTTTAATAGAATCTTTATCAGATTAGGAAAGTTTCTATTCCTAGTTTGCTAAGAATTTTTGTCATAAATGGTGTTTACTTTTATCAAATACTATATCTTAATTTTGAGATGATTAGAGGATTTTTTTTCCTTTTTTTAATATGGTTAACTACATTTAAAAAATGTTAAACCATCTTTGTGTTTCTGGAATAATCACGGTTTAGTTTTGATGAATTATATATTTTATTATATCACTGGATTCAATTGACTATTATTTTCTTTATTTTTTTTCTTCATCTATATTTATCAGTTGTCCTGGAATATTCCTTTCTTATGATCTTGCCAAACTTTGGTATCAAAGTTATGGTGTGCTCAAAAAAACTGAGAAGTATTACACCTTTATTGTCCTGTGTATGAGTTTAAGATTGGTATTATTTTTCGCTTTAAATGTTGGGTAGAATTCATAGGTAAAGCCATCTGGGCCTGGAATATTTTTTTGTGGGAAGGATTTTTATTTGTAGATTCCGTTTTTTAATAATTATGGTACTTAGATTTTCTATCTTCTGTGTCACTTTTGACTCATTCTGTTTTTCTAGGGATTTGTCAGTTTCTTGCTTTCAATTCTAATGACATGAAGTTTTTCTTAATGTCCTCTTACTACCTTTATTTATTCTTTTTTTAATACCTGAAGGATCTGTAGCAATGCTGCCTCCCCCCCTTTTCATTTCTTTTATTTGTAATTTGTGTTGTCTTGGTTTCTGGATCAGTCTTGCCAGGAGTTTATCAGTTTTATTATAAGGACTTACCAAAGAACCCATCTTTGATTCATTGTTGATCCTATTTTTTTTTTTTAATTTTTTTTTCAACTTTTTTTATTTATTTTTGGGACAGAGAGAGACAGAGCATGAACAGGGGAGGGGCAGAGAGAGAGGGAGACACAGAATCGGAAACAGGCTCCAGGCTCCGAGCCATCAGCCCAGAGCCTGACGCGGGGCTCGAACTCACGGACCGCGAGATCGTGACCTGGCTGTAGTCAGACGCTTAACCGACTGCGCCACCCAGGCACCCCTGTTGATCCTATTTTATGTTTGTTTTCTATTTCATTATTTTCCTGGTCCGTATTTCCTTTGACTTTTTTTGGAGAGTTTATTTCCTATCTCTTTTCTATTTCTTGAGATGAATAGTTAGATTATTGATTTGCAGCCTTTCTCTTTTTCTTATATATGCATTCGAGCCTATTTTTCCCTTTAATTATGACTTTATCTGCATTGTATGCAAATAAATGTTTAAAACATGAAAAAATTTCCATGTGATTTTTTTTGAGTCTTGGATTATTTTGAAAATTATTACTTAACTAGATACATGAAGATATTTTAGTTACCTTAGTTTTTGATTTTTAGCATAATTACACTGTGTTAAAGAACTTGTGTCTGGTTTCAGTCTTTGGAAATAGCATTACGTCAATGTTGATAATTCCATGTATACACAGAATGTATATTGCTTTTGTTGGGTAATTGTTTTCTTACTTTGTATATATCAAGTAGGTCAAGTTGGTTGCATTGTACAAGTAATAAGTCTTTATCCTTTCTAATTTTTTCCCCTGCTTTTTCAGTTAATTACTGTGAAGTGTATTAAAATCATATTCCATGATGTGGATTTGTCTTTTTTTTTTTTAATTCTCTGAAGTTTTTTGCTATATGGTTTGAGGCTGAGTTATGAGGTACAATTAAATTGGAATTTTTCTATCTCTGGCACTTGACTCTTTTATCATTATTAAATAGTCCTCTAGCTCTAGCAATACTACTTTCTTTAAAGTCTACTTTTTCTGATTTTTAGTATGGCTACATGACGTTTATTTTGGTTAGTGTTTGCATTGTATCTTTTCCCCAACTTTTACTTGCATCCTTTTTGTACTCTTAAATTTAAGTGTGCCCCTTGTAAGCGGCATGTAATTTTTAAATCCAGTCTGCTAAGCTTTGTCTTTTATTTGACATATCTAGTTATCTCTGATTAATTAGAGATATTTGGGCATAAATCTATGTTACATCTTGGTTTTCTACTTGTGCATATGTTTTTTGTTTTATTCATATATTCATTGCTTTCCTTTGTACTAGTTATTTTTCATTCCTTTTCCCCCCTTGCTAAATTTCAGTGGCTACTTTAGATATTACAAAATACATCCTTGACTTTATTAAAGTGCAGTATAAATTACTATGAATATTACTCCTTTTTAGACAATACAGGGACCATCAAACCCTTTAACTCTATCCTTATTTTGCTGTTAGTGCTAGTGTCTGTGTATGTGTATCCCATACAGCAATCGTTTATTTAGTTTTTCCAATATGCTTACTTTTTCTATAGTTCTTTCTCTCTGCATCTTGTAGTTTCCATCTGGAATTCTCTTAACTTCTGCCTGAAAAACATCCTTGTATTTTCTTTAGTGTGAATCTGCTAATTTATTTTGCCTGAAATTTCTTTATATAAATACATCAGCTTTACTGATGTAATTCACATATCATATGCTTTACTGACTTAAAGCGCATAATTAAAAATTTTTTTTTAAATATTATTTT